GTAGGCCATGGATATGCTTGGTCTACCCAATCAGGATATGACTTTGTGTAAGTCGGCCTAATGATACTATTTCCATAATTTGATTCCTCAACATGACATTGGGGTCATATAGAATTCCTACAAGTTGGTTAACTGGTTGATTTGCTTGATGCATGATATTTGGTCCTTGGTTGGCAACAAAGTTGCCATTATTTGGGTCATTGTTACCATTAGCCTGAATATTTATTCCATCATTAACACGTGGGGCATTCTGTCCATTATTTAGGACATTGTCTCTTACGTTTAGGTTACCCTCCAAGTTAGATGTACCATTGCCACTATTCTGATTTGGCATTACACTATTCCCCTGGTTTGAAGTAAAGGGACCAAAAGGTGGTTCTATCCCTTGATTTGGACTTAGGACTGGGGGATTATGTCCCACAATTGTCCTAGCTTGGAAGTGATTTGCAAGAGGCACAACTGGCTGACAAATTTGGCCTACTAACTTATTCATTATTTCATTCAAAGTATTCAGTTGTTTGGCCATGTTGTCATAATGTGCATTCCCATTCTGGGTAAATCTTTCCATATTATGAATATTTCGTAGATTTACCTGTTCAACGACATTCTGTGTGAGTTCTCCAAGTAATACACGCATAGTTCGAGGACTCAACTCTATCATTGGTTCGTAACGACTATGACTGCTCTGATTTTGTCCATCTGTTCGTGGAGAGCTATGCTGCTCCTCATATCGTTCGATCACAGACTGGACTCCTCCCTAACTTACTTCCTTATCAGATTTCTGAGACATATTGTTTCACCTTTTGTATCTTCAACACCAAACACCAAGATCCCACTGAGCGTACCAAATTGTTTCGCGCGGGTAGTCGCTAACAATTAAAAAAAAAATCAGACGATTGTGTAAGGAACAAACCTCTTGAGACAAAGTCCCGAAAAAGGGGTGTTTTATTGGTGATGATTTACAATTTGGAACTAAACAGAATGCCTCCAAGGGGCGCAAGCACACTAGTACTGAAAGAAATGTTTAAGTTTAAACTAAGAAATTGAAATTACATATTCTCTGTTTGAGAGTGTTTGATTCTGGGTATTTTGCTCTATGTCTTCTCTTCCTTTTATATTCCCTTGATGATTTCTTCGTGATCAACCACTTAGAAACTGCTTGATTACTTTATAACTACCCACTTTCTTTATGGTGGCTAACTTATCGTGGAACTGGCGTCTCTAACTGCAGTCACTACTCTTTGTCATTCAACCATTTTCAACTGAACTCCTTGAATCGTGGAACGTGATAATGTTACTCAATAACTGCACTTCTGGATAACCATAACATCTTATGTTTGTTAAGATCCTGGGCGATTCGAAGGTTTGGGCGAGAACAGGGTCATAGCTCTGGGCGACTGTAAGGCACTTCATTTGCTCAGATTTTGGGCGTCTTGCAAGCTTAGACGATAATGTTACCGTATTCATGGGCTTCCACTACATTCATTAATAACACTATCTGGGCATTTATCCTGAATTGCCCAGTTGAGTTTCATTCTTTCGGCTATTTGATTTGGGAATTCCTCAATTGGGCTTCATTCTTTGGGCTATTCGATATGGGCTGCACTTTTAGTGTGTCAACAGATATACCTTGCATTTTATGGCGATCTTGAATGTACTTCTCTTTCTCAATTCGATATCTTGAGGCGAAATCTAATTCTAATATTTTTAAAAGTGTTTCCTCAATTAATCCTTGGAAGTGGTGTCTTGATGTATAATTATTGTGTCGATACAGTTCATTAACTTTGTAGAGCTTTTGAAAGATTCTTGAGAATTGCTATCTTGGGTTAGTAATGCCCCCCTTACCGTTCATGGCTCAAACAAATCTACACCATAACAATTATCTTCGTCAAATTGGGTGTCACCCACTTCGTCAGAGTCTAAAACGTACGGTTTCTACAATCATATTGATAAGGTTTTGAAATTTATTTAACGCTAGAGAATTTTTGTAAAGCAGAAATTAATTGTGATTTTTCAGTAAGGGAATTTGCATTGGTGGAAAGGGATCATATGGATACGTCTATTGTACTATTCTTGTATTGTCTTCTTATAAACGATTGCTGGATTGAATTTATACCTCAACTTGACCTTGCATCTCCTAATTAATGATCTTAGATGAAATGGCTTGAAAGAATTTTCGAGGGAAAAAAATCCCGGCAAAAAATCCATGTTGATTTGAATTATTTGCAAAAACAAAATATATATTTGATCTTCATCTGTAATATTTATTTTAGCCGTTGACAAATACTTTATATTAGTAGAATTTTTTTTCCTCCTATAGTTGGAATCCCTTGCGTATTATGCTTCTTCTACTAATATTCTTTCATCCGTTCCGAAGTATATGCATCAATATGCATCAATCTTGAAACCGTTGTGGAAAAGTCTTTGGACTGATAGGACAATCTTTATCAAATTGTATTATCCATGAGTAATTTGAAGATTTGAAAAATAGATCGTTTATTCAGGCCTTGACATAATCATTGTGATCAATTCCTTGCGGTTCATATGGTTTGGAATATCTTTTGAGTAAAGACGTTTTGATTCCAATTTAATATTGTTTACACTTGAACAACTTTGACTTTTGAAAAAGGCTATTTTTTTTTTCTGAATCTCATTTGGAAGTATGTGTAATTTATTGGATAAATTTATTTAAAAAAAAAAATCTTGTTTTCTTTAAATCTTCTGGAAGATACCATAAGCCTTGAATCATAATAAAGTAGTTGGAATGTATATCAAATTGCAAGTCGGGAGGATCATATGATGACACTGAAAAATTTGGATGATAGTAAAGTATATCGATCCTCTTTTTACATATTGTAAAGTTTATATTTCTCTTATCTTTTAAAATAAGTCTAAATAGGTGATTGATGTTAGTACAGAGCATTGTCTTGATCTAATTCCCCATAAACCTCCCATTTTAGATATAGACTTTTTAAAGACAAAGTTGACAAATATTTCACAACAAAGCCAAGTTTTTAAAGAGAGACAGTTAAATTTCTAAGTTGCTTATTAGTTTGCTAGCTAATTATGATTTGCTAATTAGAGGCGGACCCACATGGGGTCACATGATTCCATAGAAATTTTTGATATTTATTTATTTTTTCTAAATTTTGTATTGGCCAATTGCCGCAACTCTATTCCTTCTGCCTGACTTTTGTCTATTAATGGCAACTGAGGCTTTTTTACTTCATCAACCCAATTGTCTTTGTAAAATTCAGGTGGAGTTATGTCATAGTTTGGTTACATATACCAAGAACAATGTACTCGACAATATTGATAATGATGTAGTTATCCGATATTTTCAAAGTATGAAAATGTGTTGGCTACAATTGTAATAGTATATTGACTTATTTTCACTAATATTATTTTACTTTTAAAAAATAAATTGCATTTTCATTTTTGGCGCACAATTTTGTTGCTAATTGTTACTGCGATGTCATAGATTTTCTCGGTAAGCGAAAGTTTGTCACCATGGATTAATCATGGAAAAGGGACTATTTAAGTAATCAAGCTGATACGTATTTGGGAGTAGTGAGTAGAAATAACCACCTGCCATGTGTATATCATATGGGGCGACTGTTTTAGTGAGCGACTGTAAATAATATTATTGTACACGACACTTGACCTGATAATATTAGACACCATAGTGAATATATATGATCCTTCATTTCTCACATTTTAACTGAAATACTCCAACAACCGTATCTAGGCTACAGCCCAACCTAGATACAAAACTAATTGTAAAAGAAGGAATTTTATACTTAATTCAACCCAAAATACTATTTGAGTTTGGCTCCAACATGACTCTCAACCCAAGCTCAATGCTCAATTGCCCAAATTTAGTCGAAGACTCTACATTTTTTTGAATATTCTATTCATTACATTTCAATAACTTATTGCCAAATTAGATATCTTATTTAATGCATGTTTTACTAAGTTTACTTATAATTATATAAACAAATTTTACGATATATAATTTGTATTTATTAGAGCTAAAAACAAATTACTTATTTTAACAATAAGAGATGATACGTGTTTGGCTAAGTTTAAAAATAATTAATCTTTTTGTTTCTACATACATTTTTCATATATTACGTTTTCATACATACAAGAAAAGAATTTACTTATTTTTTGACCATGAAATAGATGTTTTTATCAAAATAAGTAATTTGTTCCATGTTTAATATTGCCAGTAAAAAAATGTATTTGTTAAACCTTATTTATGTATATATCAATCTAATTGTAAATATATTATTGAATTTGATTTAAACATGGACGTAAAATAAATCCAATTTCTTTGAACCCTCGAAATTCTTGGTTGGGCTTCCCACTTATTGTGGGATTCCTCACTCACTGTGAAATGTAGTGGTATAGAAAACTGATATAAACATCAAATAGTACATTGAGCATATCAATGCAGAGTGATGCATTTTTTATTTCGTGTTTTGACCATAACTTTTAATTGTTTGGAACAACTAGTTGTCCCAATTCTTTGAAACAATATTCATAGTATTTTCTTAATTTTTGATTGATGAATATATAATCGTCGCTTATGCCTATCAATCTTATGCCAATTTATATTTCTTAAGGTGAACGTCACTTTTCTATTTGATAAGAAAAGCCTTTAAAATCTAACAAAGCATTTTAGGAAATATCATGAGCTTAGCCTCCTAAACTAGATATCTTGTGAAATGATTTCATTCGAATTTTTTAAATTTCATCCCCTCCCCAATTCATTTTCTAAATCCACCCTTTAATATACATGAAGTAGAAACTACATCCTGACATCCATGCATAGTGATGGCAATGGGGCGGGTTAGGTGCACCACCCGCCCCGCCCCGTTTCCCCCAAACCCCACCCCGCCAACCCGTTCGGGTCGGGACGGGTGGGTTTTATTGCCATCCCTATCCATGCAGGATTCTAATGATTCAAATGAGACACTAGTTATTTGCTCAAAAACTAAGTGAATGTTTGTTACATAGTGCAATAGAAATTTTTTAAACTTTTTTGGTTCTATAATAATATCCTATCCATGCTATGACAGGATAGTCATCATATGTAATCTTTACCATACAAATTCGAAAGCACAAAGCAGGCATATTTTTAGCCGCTAACAGACAAAGACAGGGTGAAAAAAATGAATCTCTGTTTTTTGCCCTTTAATTTTCCTTCCCCTCTCTTTCAACTGAAAGAAAATTTTCCCAACACTCGCCCTACTTGATATATTGTGAAACCCATTCGAAGCCGTCACCGTAGCCCATTTTGCGTACAATGCTGCACATGAATACCTCGAAAGGGCGCACATTAGAGTCCACCAGATTGACCTTTCCTTTGCCAGCGGGTATACCAGTCAGGCAGAAGTGGTAACGCAACTCGTCTTCAGAGGCACCGTATGGTATGTCAATCTTGTTTCCCAAAATCAGAAATGGAACATCGGCAAGGGCCTCATCAGAAAGGAGTGCATCTAATTCCTTCTTTGATTCTGCAAAACGCTCCTTGTCATACGCGTCAACCAGGTACACTACAGCATCAACCTGTAAAACCACAAGGTGAACTCGTTCATACGAGAAAAGAGGCATAAATACTGATAAGATGACCAAAAGGAAACATACTGTGTGATTGAAACAAAAATTATATTATTTTTCCAATATAAATGGCATGCAGCAAGGGTAGCAGCCGTTGAAGATAATGGATATACTTGTAGATATCTCAAGCAGCATGTGGAAATAATTCAAATGGTTATCAATCTTGTAAATTCTCGGAAGAGTAAATTCCAGAGAAAAATGGCATAAGCAGGATCTTATGGAGAAAAAAAGAAGTTACTGCTTGTTATGATGATTTTATTGGAAGCGATTAAGTATATGCTATACTGATAAAGCCATTACGAGAGTTTTCTTATTTAGTCATCTTAATATTTTGTTGATCACTGAGGAAAAATAAACGCTAACCAGGGATGGAACCAATATTTTCCTCAACAGAGCCAAACCAATTATTAAAACTTTCCCATAGAAAATAATTCTCATAAGATTGACAAGATGAAAGATAAAGCAGGAAACTTACGACACGTCATGTTGACCCCATAAAGTGTCTAAAAAAAAAAAAAAAATTTAATTTGACCTTCTGTTACACTAAGCAAGATTATATGAAGAATAAAACCCAGTTTTTCTGAAGAATCAAAATTCAAGGTTTGAAAATATAAATTCCAAAAGTGCCCCATTTGTTGCCAGGGTCTCTCTTATCAAGCAGTTACTCTTGCAAGAAATCCCAAAAAGGATCTTTATAAACCACTTATAACAAATCCCAGAACTGGCTTGTTGATTCATTATGCCTTTTCTTAACTGAAGAGTCTACTGGCAAATCCTCTCACAGAAACTTCCTATTCTATCATGCTTAGGTTTCCATCTCATTCATTTACATCTTTGAAGCTACATTGTAGTAATCCCTATATCTGGACAAGCCGGCCAATTGTAAACTATGTATAGTACTCCCCATCTTGTATTTAAAATTACAATCTACTAAGATGTTTAGACAAAGCAAGTCCTTGAGATGGTGAGCATAAAGTGGAATAATAGTTAAAGTAAAATAAATATGTACTATATTGGTTGAAATCTAGGAAACAGTCAAAGGAAAATAATTATATTCTATATTGGTTGAAATCCACTAACAAATGCACCTCATAATTCACCAAAACTATTTGATAAAAATGATTTATAGACACAAGAATGCACTTCAAAGGTTCGACATAGGTTAGTCACATAACGAATAACATGTGCAGGAAATGGAATGAACAGAGATAGAATTAGACCAAGGGATAATTGTAGATCAATAGCCAATTTTTGAAAAAAAATTCCTTGAATCATTGACTTGATATTTAATTGTCTCTGAGTGATACTTCTGATTGTGGATTTATGTGTTTCATGATTTTGCGAGATCAGAAAGGAAAGTTTTATAAAAATCTTTTTGCATATGAAATTCAAAATTCTTTTCAATAGAACAAAACCCAATATTTTTCTAAGGGCCTGCTTGGGAGTTTCCGCATACCGGTCATGAGCATTTTTCTGAAGTACCGATTTTGAGCGTTTATGAGCGAATCGGCTTTGAGTGGTTTTAGTAGCAGTTTTTAAAATTGTCCAACTTATAATTGAGAATTTATTATACACTAGTTCCGAAAGTTTTTTCTAAAAAATAAAATTACATATTTGTCCCTTAGTAAAATTTTCGGTTTATAGTTTCTTATATGAAATTTTTTGTAAGTGATATTTTACTTATAGATATTGTTTTTAAATAAATAAGTTAATATTTAATTTAAAATTTAAACAAATTTAATTATTTAATTAAAATTTTAGGTTAATATTTTTACTCATAAGTAAATGTTATACTTTCAAATAATTTTAAGTGAATTTTTTACTTATAAGTAACTTTTTTATATTTTATAAGTGATTTTATGTATTATATTAGTATTTTTATTTCATAAATAATTTTTTTTACATAAGTATTTTTTACTTATAAGTAACTTCGTAATTATAATGTAATTTTTCTTATACTTATAATTATTTTTTAATTATAATTTTAAATTTTTTTTGCTTATAAATAATTTTTTAGTTAATATGTTTTTATTTAAAAGTTAATTTTAAAGAAAATATGTTAATTGAAAATAATTATTTTATAGAGGTAGAATTAGAGGAGAACATGAGAAATAGCCAAAACCAACCGATTTGGTAGGTTGGAAGAACTAGTCAAAATTACATTACACCGATTTTAGATGATTTTTAAACCATCCAAAACTGGTGCCCAAAAATACTAGCAAGCACAGACTTTTCTAACGCCTAATAAATGGTGCCACCTAGAACCGGTGGGTAAAAAAAAAAAAAAAATCACCTCCCTAAGATCTACTAGCTCGGAGTCTAAAATTAGAAATTAGCATTAAACTCAAATTACTGTGGAAAAAGAAGCACAACATAAACGTGCAAAGGTTTATGCCATAGAATTAAGGATTATTCTCTTTGTACCGAGGGGGGTTTACCGAAGCATTTACCCCCCTCTCACAAACACGCGGGCCTCACGTCTATTTAATAATGTCGAGCCGTGATCCCCACCTTAATGATGTGAGTAGGGGGTAAACGGTTAAGTAAACATTTATGTACGTGTAGCACGGTCCTAGAATTAATACCGTGATGGAATATTAGAGAGTCATTCTGTGCATATTTTAGATAAAAAAATAAATATAAATAAATAAATAAATAAAAAGAAAAAAAGTAGAAAAAGAAACCAAAGAAATTCCCAAAAGCAATTCGTGACCCCTTCCCAAAAATCAACCATCTTCTTATCCCACTATCTCATGAACTCAGAAATTTTTCCAACTATGAAATCACTCCATGGATGATCCAGAAACAAATTTCCAACAATAATTATTTAGAAAACCCAAAAAGGTTGTGAAAAACGGCAACATCCAGATCAAGAAAATCCATGCCCACTTGAAAATAAAAACAATAACTTTATATTACTCTACCTCTTGTAAGAACTCTAATATTTCCACAGCAAATCAAACTTCAATGGAATCTAAACTAAAACCCAGCTATACAGAAAATATAGTTATATATATTTATCTCTGGGAACTTGATAAACCTTGGCATAGTAATCCTTCCAGACTCGACGGGCGATCTGATGACCGCCCAAATCAAACGCCTTGAACTTAATTTTCCCAATGCTCAGCTCTTCCGAGGTGGGATATTGCGTCGGATGATGCTGCACTAATCTCTACAAAAACCCAAAATAATTCAATGCAGTCAACCCATCAAGATCCATGTTCAAGAAAATAATTTAAAAAATTACAAATAATTTCAGCGTTTTCGATTATTATAAACAAAAATAACAGAAAATTCTCCTTATCCTTGAGCACGTGAAGAAGGGTGGCTTTGCCAGCATTATCGAGGCCAAGAAACAAGATCATGGCCTCTTTCTGCCACAATCCGAGTGAGGCCAAGACGCCATAAAACCAGTCCAAGGGAACATTTCTGTGGGAATTTTTGGATTGGGATTTGATTGGAAATCCAATAGATATGGATGGACGTTGAGAGAAGAAACGGGGATTTGATGAATATGGTGAATTTGCGAAAATGAAACTGGTAAATGGAGGTAGAATTTTTGTTACTGTTAAAATTTGATACAATTTAAGTTTTTTTTAATCACTGGGGACCAGTAAATAACTTAAATATTAAACGAGGAGGAGCCAAATTTTGTCAGTGTTTCAGAGTAGTTTTACTTGATAAGCCTTACTTTATTTGGTAAAGCCCTTACTTTTAAGTTTTTTTAATCTTTGTTTGGTAAAGCTTTTATTTGTTGATAAGTTGGACAAACTTTATTTTTTAATCACATATCTAAATTCACAATTTTTATCCACATTATCATCGCACATTTCACGTATTCACCACTAAATTTACAAGTTATTTTTAAAGAAGTTAAAACATAGTTTTCAATAATTAAACTATATTACTGATAAAAATAACTTTTAAAATTATATTTAAGATTGTTTTGACAAAACTTTTAATAAAAATTTAAGCAAATTTTATAAAAATTAATTAAATGGATAGTTGACAAGTCGTAGGTTCATAAAAAATGTGACTAAAATTGAAGTTTAACCATTTTAAAAATTAATAAAATTTTCTCAAAGGAGCACTTGGCCTTTGTTTGGTTTAAATTTTTAATAAATTTTGATAAAAATTAATAGAATATATGATTAAAAAGTTGTGAATTTTATGAAATATATGATTAAAATAAATTATTAATTTTGATTTAAATTTTAATTAAACTTCATAGTTGAAGCAAAATCAAATTTAAATTATGTTTAATAAAGGCTTTTCTACAAGTTGAAGTTTCCACGGTCCAAATCGCATGTCATTATTGAAATACTAATTTCTAAGTTACTTTGTTTGGCTATGCTATAGGTACAACTTTCTTGACATCATTCTTGACAACTCCTCACATGTAGGAGGAGGGCCTGCGATTAAAATAATCACGACCCCACATTTTGTGAAAGAGCTGTAAATATGTACAGCACTTGGTGCTGTTCATATATCATTTTCCTGATTTCAAATAACAAATTTACTTAGTTTAAAGTGATGTTCAAGTAACAAATCTTCGAAAATGATATTTTAATCATGTTTAGTTCATAATACTTATACTTGAATATATATTGAATTATTTTTCTTTCTAATATTCTATAGTATCGTCTTAAATCAGTATATTTGAATGAGTTATTTCTCTCTCTCTCTCTCTCTCTCTCTCTCTCTCTCTCTCTCTCTCTCTCTATGTATATGTATGTGTGTGTGTGTGTGTGCTTGCGTGTGCGCGCCCGCGTGTGTGGACGATATGTGGTCAAGTGTGATTTGGAAAAAAAAAATACACGATAAAACTAATCGATTGTCAACTTTAGGTTTCGTTCTTTGACAATAGCAAATGACAGTTAGTTTTCATTTTTATGCTAACCGACCTAATTGGGCTCTGATTCTGAATTATAATCTTAGTGTTACAATTTGCATTTTAGCCATTGTTCTTTCTATCTTCACTCATACATAACTCGAAAAAGATGAGATTCCCTTAACCTTTAAAGGGATCATTTTCAAAGAGAGAATTTGTTCTTCCTTTGTATTAGTTTTCTATAGTGATGTACTGATTGTATACAATTGAAGGTATGCATGGTATGTTCGACCAAATTGGACTTAACAAGAATTCAAACAAATATCTTCCACGGCTTTCTTAATCTTGATGGTTCATGCTGGTTATAATTCTAATCGAAAATGATTCACGTGCATGGCTACAGCATATATGTACACCAAATTGATAGAATAATTTTACTTCGAGACTCGATAAAGTCTCAATCAAGAAGTATAGAAACTCATGCAGAAACTAAAAACAAACATAGTAGTTCCTATACATAGTTACATATCATCACTTCGGAATCGTTACTGGAGAAGTTACATTCTTAGCGCAGTAATCTTTTACACTTCCCAAAAGAGCCCTATCAATGTTTAGGGAAAATTGTGATTGAGAAACTATAAGGATTAAGGAATAAGTAATTGAAACGAATAATATTGAAAGAAACAATAAGAATTACAAAGAGAAGATCCATTTAAGGAAAAATAAATCTACCATCTACAATATATATTAAGGGTAATTATCACATAATGTCCCTACCTTTCAATATTATTGTAAAAAGATCAACACTTTCTATTTTTTAGCATTTTTACCCTTACTTACACCTTTGATTATGCAAAACATTATTATCATCCAATTTCTCAATAAAAAACTATAAAATTACGAATATACACTCCTATTTAAATTTGAAAAAGAAAAGAAAAAAGGAATTAATTGCAACTATAGTCCCAATTTTTTAAAAAAAGTTCAAACGAATGCCAAACAAATTATTGAAAAATTAGAAATTTTGAAAAATAATAATAATAATAATAATAATCTCCTTCTTCACCACCCCCACCCCCACCACCACTACCAAGTTTTTCCAATGATTTGACTATTTTCGAAGATGATTTGGGGGTAGCAGTTGCAACTAGTTTAGGCACTGGAGACGCTTGCATTGAAGAGGATGGACCTTGAGTTTTTGTTTTAGGAGATTGGCGAATTGGAGGAGATGGAACTCTAAATTTGGGATAGGCACACAAGAATTTCACGCGTGAATATATGTTTATAACTTTTTTTAGGTCAGTACTGGACTCCGTTTTCTTTCCTCCTTAACAACTGTTTATATTTTCATAACCCTTGTCTGAAGGTGTCAAAACTTTTGATATTTAGAGTAATTTCACTATTCACGCTCAAAATGCAAAGATACACCTAGAGTTTAATGCCCAGCCTATGTTTGGTAAAGGCAACATGCTGGTCCAAGAAAATTCCTGGGTGCTGAAATCTTCAAACTAGGCATTCCCATTTTTCGAAAGTCTCTTCACTCTCGATCACAACATAGCCTGATATTTCTTAGCGACCATGTATTATTTCCCATGTGCAAAATAGTTAATGCATGGTTTTTACCCATGGTTGAGCCATCGACCAAACGCGAAGGTTCTTCGCGTCAGTGGGAGGTTCTTGCATAGACGTAAGGGTTGGTGATCTAAGATTTACATCTTTCGGGATTGGGCATATGGCGTGCCCAACTGAAAGCAAAGCACGTAGATAGTCACCATTTTAGAGGACAAAGAGGATGTCTTGTAGATGAAGTTGCTATCATTTGCTTTTGTTAGAACACCTCAAGTTCAATATGTTTG